CTCTTCCTTAAAAACTTCCAGTGTTGAGCATTCACAACTTTTTTTTTAAAGTTTTTATTTTTATTTTTCATAAACACATTGACATGTAGAGTCATTTCCATCATTTTTCATTCATCTTTCTTTTAACTTTCATTTTTCATTTTTACTTTTTCAGGGCTGCTCTTTTACCCTTTACCTTTACTCCAACCTTTCTTTTCTCCTCCCTTCCCCTTCTCTTCCTTTTCTCCTCCTACTTCCTTCATTCTTCCTCTCCTTCTCTTTCCTACTCCCTTTCTCTTCCCCCACTCCTCTCTTCTCCTCCTACTTCCTTCGTTCTTCCTCTCCTTCTCTTTCCTACTTCCCTTTCTCTTCCCCCACTCCTCTCTTCTTCCCTCCTTCTCTCCTCTCCTCTCTTCTCCTTTCCTCTCTATCTACTCCTTCCCCTCTCTCCTGTTGTTTCCCTTTTCAGTTCAATATAAAGTGGTATTCAAGCAGCCCCGATTTCCTAATTATCTTTATTCTCATTTCAATTTCTTATTCAATTATTATTTATTTTTATTTCATCATTTGCGTACATTTTTATAATATCTCACTTTTTTCCCTTTTACTTCCCCTCCCCTTTCTCCTTTTACATGACATCATCTGGTTATCTATTTTTCTGGTTGTTTTCTCCCATCTATTCTCTTATCTATTTTATCTCTATGTCCTTATTCCTGTTTCTTTTCTAAAATTTATCCCATGTCTTGAAATACATCTTTTCGGTAGGCATGAAAAAAGTAGACATGTCTTCAGAATCTTGGTGAAGGTGTCCAACATGCTTTTCACTTCTGCTTCAGGTGATCTTCTCCAAGTAAAAACATCCTTCAGATCTTTAGCTTATTTAGAATGACAGAGTTGGAAGGGACCTTGGAGGTCTTCTAGTCCAACCCCCTGCTTAGGCAGGAAACCCTACACCACTTCAGACAAATGGTTATCCAACCTCTTCTTAAAAACTTCCAGTGTTGGAGCATTCACAACTTCTGGAGGCAAGTCGTTCCACTGGTTAATTGTTCTCACTGTCAGGAAATTTCTCCTTAGTTCTAAGTTGCTTCTCTCCTTGATGAGTTTCCACCCGTTGCTTCTTGTCCCGCCTTCAGGGGCTTTGGAGAACAGTTTGACTCCCTCTTCTTTGGGGCAGCCCCAGAGATATTGGAAGACTGCTATCATGTCTCCCCTGGTCCTTCTGTTGCTTTTTAATCTGCTTTATTTTTTAAAAAATTTTTTACGATCGATGGTTTGAATGGTCTTCAATGTTTCTTTTATGTTGTAAGCAGCCCAGAGTCATTGGAGACAAGAGGAGCTAGGCTTGTGTTAGCAAACCTATGGCACGCATGCCAGAAGTGGCACGCAGAGCCATGTTCGCCCGGCACGCGTGGTGTCGCCCATTCTTCTTCTGGGTTTCCAGGGCACGCATGCGCACCAGCCAACTAGTCTGCTGGTTACTGATGCACATGTGCATGTGACGATCAACTGGCCTTAACGTCTTAGTGCGCATGTGCCCTGGCCATGCCATCATTGCCTGTATGCAGCCCCGCGACTCCGCCCTTTGCCAGCCAGGAGCGCTGCCGCCAGTCGCTCCCGTGCACCAGCTGCCTGCCTGCCTCATCACCGCCACCATGAGGAAAGGCCCCAAAGTTGCGCTGCCTGGGATCCACGTGAGCTGCCACAGGGGGAGACCAGGTATGGCTGGCTGGACGCTGCCCGGAGCTGAGCTCGAGGCTGGCAGGAGGAGGAACTTAGCAGGCTCAAACTGTCGGCTGCTGCAGCCTGCCGCCATCCCCTCTCCCCTGCCAGCTGCTCCTGCCACTGCCAGGGAAGCAGCTGTGCGAGAACCGCTGCCGCCAAGGGCGAGGGGGCGGTGGTGGCAAGGATAGGCAGTCCGGGTCTTCCCTGTCTCCCCACCCGAGCAGACTTCTGGCATAGTCCCAGGCCTCCGAAGGGAGGGAGGGAGGGAAGCCCCGGCCTGCTGCTCCTGCCGCCGCCACCCCCTTTGTTGTGGCCCCGCCCTCTGAGCCTGTCCCATCGGAGGAAGAAAGCTCCGAGCATGAGGAAGAGGAGTCAGCCAGGCCTCCCTCTCCAGGCCCCTCCCCTCTGGCACTGTCTCAGGTGCCGGCCGAGGGAGAGGAGATTAGCCGGGAGACAGGTGTCTTGGATGAGAGTGAGGGAGAGACATCATTCCTGGACGCACGCCTCCGAAGGCGTGATAAACGATTGCAGCAGCTCAGGAGGCGTGCTAGGGATTAGAACTGAGTCACTGGACCACACCCCAGAGACTATATAATAGAGGGTGGTGGCCAGTGATCCCTGTGACGAACAAAAGTAAACCTTGGATAGTCACTAAAGCCTCGTCCGAAACTGCTGAGAGGAATATTCTGTCTGTTGGACTCTTGTACGCTGAGTATTTTATCTTTCTGTTTCTGTGGAAATAAAAGCACTTGGCAGATGGTGTGTATATCGCTGCCAAGTTGGAGATAAAGACCTGGGTGTGTGCCAAGTGCTTCCTTAACCCTCGGCTGGCTGTGTTTGTGTGTGTGTGTGTGTGGACGGGGACAGATCACCCTTGCCCCCAGCAAGAGCGGTTCTCGTGCTGCCCCAGGAGGACTGGAGGAGAGCGCAGCTCCTCACTCTTGGAGATCCACCAGCGGGGAAGTGGTTGCAGAAAGCGGTAAGAAATGCACAAGCCAGGAAGCGGTCATGCTCCCTGGCAGGAGAGGGTTGCATGTTCACTCAGCCAAGGTTTGTGCAGCCCTCTCCGGCCAGGGAGCATGACCGCTTCCTGGCCAGCGTACCTCTTACCGCGCCCACTTCCCCACCGGTAGATCTCCATGAGTGAGAAGCTGCGCTCTCCTCCGGTCCTCCTGGGGCAGCATGAGAACCGCTCTTACTGGGGACAAGGGGGGGGCGGTGGCAGGAGCAGCAGGCTGGGGCTTCCCTCCCTCTCTCCCTCCCTCCCTCCCTCCCTCCGGAGGCCTGGGACTATGCCAGAAGTCTGCTCGGGCGAAGAGACAGGGAAGCTCCAGACTGCCCTCAGAATAACGACTTTCCAAGCCCAAAATGGGGCACATGCTCAGGGGGTCATTTGGGCATGCGCATGTGGGAGGGTTCGCATTGCATTATGGGTGCTGGCACGCACGCGAGCTGCTGCGCGTGCACATACACGCTTCTGGCACGCCACGAGAAAAAGGTTCGCCAACACTGGACTAGGCAAATAAATGTCATAAGCTACAGTGGCGCAGTAGTTAGAGTGCAGTACTGCAGGCTCCTTCGGCTGACTGCTGGCTGCCTGCAATTTGGCAGTTCGAATCTCACCAGGCTCAAGGTTGACTCAGCCTTCCGTCCTTCTGAGGATGGTAAAATGAGGACCCAGATTGTTGGGGACAAGAGGCTGACTCTGTAAACCGCTTAGAGAGGGCTGTAAAGCACTGTGAAGCAGTATATAAGTCGAAGGGCTATTGCTATCTGTCTGTCTGTCTGTCTGTCTGTCTGCCTGCCTGCCTGCCTGCCTGCCTGCCTCTCTATCTATCTATCTATCTATCTATCTATCTATCTATCTATCTATCTATCTATCTATCATCTATCTATCATCTATCTATCTATCTATCTATCTATCTATCTATCTATCATCTATCTATCTATCTATCTATCTATCTATCTATCTATCATCTATCTATCTATCTATCTATCTATCTATCTATCTATCTATCTATCTGCCGTGGTGGCACAGTAGTTAGAATGCAGTATCGCAGGCTAATTCTGCTGACTGCCAGCAGTTCGATCCTGACTGGCTCAAGGTTGACTCAGCCTTCCGTCCTTCCAAGGTGGGTAAAATGCGGACCCAGATTGTTGGGGGCAAGAGGCTGACTCTAAATGCTTAGAGAGGGCTGCAAAGCACTGTGAAGTGGTATATAAGTCTAAGTGCTATCGCTATAAACAAATAAAACCTCTACAGGGAATGCCAGGACCTGGAATCCTACTCTGAAATCCTATATGGTGTGTACCAGACTGGAGAAAGGATATTTATTATGGATTCACTGTTTGTTATATGGAGATTCTCAGTCATCCAGGACATGGTTGTCCCAAAAGTGATTTTTTTCAAGAGGCAACTGGACTTTCTGGTTTTTCTTGAAGATGTCTCGCTTCTCATCCAAGAAGCTTCTTCAGTTCTGGTGGAGGATGGAAGTCAGTCAGAACTGAAGAAGCTTCTTGGATGAGAAGCGAAACGTCTTCAAAGAAAAACCAGAAAGTCCAGTTGCCTCTTGAAAAAAAAGCACCTTTGGGATCCACTCAGTTGTAAGATTTGCATTTGACACAGAAAATCCTTTTTATTAAAAAAAAAGAGGGAAAAGTAAGAAAGGATAAACTTCAGTTTACACTTTTGCTCAATGAAACAGGAACAAAAGATGGCATTTATTTTTATTTTCCCCCGCCCCTTCCCCCCAAAAAACCCCACACACATCTCGTTTATTTCTTTTTTTACAAAAAAAAAAAAAAAAAAACAGGAAAAGTCAGCAAGCAACGGAGAGACTAATGACCTCACTTCCGTCATTAGGACATTCTTTATATAGAAAGAAAGAAACAGTTACCATACTATTAAACCTCCTGTTTTTGTGGGGGGTTTTTTCCCCTTTTGAGTTCCAAATTTACAGATACAAGGTCTAGCTTTCTACGGAACGCAAATGCACCAAAACAGAGAAACAGCGACAAGAATGACGACGACGACGACAAACAAACAAAAAATCCAAGACAAAATGAATGCGGATGAGTCCAATATACCTCTGTTTTCGGTCTCTGGTCTTTTTTTTTTAATCGTACGGACAGACCCCCCCGAAACCTGATGCTGAAACGGGGCTCCCTTACTTATAGAAAAGCTACGACACATCCGTTTACTTTCGAAAATAATTTTCTTCCATCGGGGTCTCCTCGCAGCCCGGATTAAGAAACTGACTAACGCATACATTCTCAAAAATACACACTTTTTAAAAAAAAAAAAAATTATAGCCTCTGCTCCTTAAGACCAAATGCACTTGGCACACACGTATAGGCATGGGAGGGGATTCAGCCGGTTCGGACCGGGTCCGGCGAATCAGATGTTAATTTTAATCTGGTTTGCCAAACCGGTAGTTGTAAGGACTGGCTGGCCCCGCCCATCCCGCCCCTTCCAGGAGTCTCCACGTGGCCCGTTTTGGATGCCAGGTAAGTGCAGGGCCCGCGCAGAGGCTCTGGAAGGGTGAAAAACAAGCCTACCGGAAGTACCGGAAGTCCAGAAATGGGCCCATTTCCAGCCTCCGAAGGGCCTCTGGAGTCCAGGGGTGGTCATTTTCGCCTTCCTGGAGGCTCGAGGAAAACCTCTGGAGCTTGGGAGGGCGAAAAACAGGCCTACCGAAAGTACCAGAAGTCCGGAAACGGGCCCATTTCCGGCCTCCAGAGGGCCTCTGGAGCCCAGGGGAGGCTGTTTTCACCCTTCTGGACGCTTGAGAAAAGCCTCCGGAGCCTGGGGAGGGCAAAAACGACCCCACCACAATGGTGCAGGAAGCCGACTAGGCCATGCCCACCATGGCCACACCCACCTAGCAACTGGGCAGAGAACCGGTTGCTAAAACTTTTCAATCCCACCCCTGCATACAGGTATATATATTTATATATATATATATATTTATATAGGTATATATATTAGCTAACAACTACTCTTCAATTTTACACCTTGCCTTCCCACCCGCCCTGTTTCTAAATTTTGGGTTCCCCCCCCCCCAAAAAAAATTAATAATCTGGAGAATATTTAATGCGCTTTTAAAAAACTCGGTTATCGTTCCTGTAGCAATAAGAAGAACGTGTCCTTTGTTTCAGTTTTCGTTTTTTTCCTGCAAATGAAATTTACCCAAACAGAGGGGAAGGCTATTAAGAGACACTGTAGCACCTCTGAGAAGTTTTAAATAGTTTTACTCATATATATATATATATATATATGTATGTATATATATATAATTACAACTTCTTTAAAAAATAAAAGAGCACCAAGTATTTTCACAGTGAGAGGTAGAATCAAATTGAAAAGGCCTGTCCCTCTCTCTCTTTTTCTTTCTCTTTCTCTCTTTCTTTTGTTTCCTCTCGTTCGTTTTCTCTTTTTACAATGTAGCACCAAAGTTTTTTCACCCCTTTCCACTTGGGCTGGGGGGAAAGACATATCTCCCCTTACCACCCTGTGTCGAAGGGATGTTTTTTTCATTTCCAAAAGGAAGAAGAATCTCGCTGGCTTTTATTTAGATTTTGTTCCTTTTTTTTTCTTGCCTTAAATAATATATATCTATATATCTATATATGTTTTTTCTCTCTCTCTCTCTTTCTCCTCTCTCTGTTTAATATTGCACATCAAAATCCTTCCTGTTCCAGAACAGTGAGCAGATTAAAAAAATAATAATAATAATCTTATCATAAGATGGCAACGTCGGTTTTCCAAGTCACTTCCTTTGTCTTGTCCAGCAAAACCTCTGCTCGATTAAAAACAAGGACCTGGGGTTTCCAAAAACTGCATGAAAGATTTGGGTTTTCCGCAAGCAACTTTTTTTTCCCCTCCTTTGACTGAAGAAGAAGGGGGAATGAGTCCATCCATGGAGAATGTCTACTTCAACTGGCCGTCTCGGAAGTTGCTTCAAGCCGCCGGGGGTTCTTCCGAACCTTTTCTCCCCACGCCGAGATGGAGAAACTGCAAAGATGGTTCTGCAAAGTCTTCTCATTTGACAATGACATTGTCATTTGACAATGGTCCCAGTGCTGAAGCCCCAAATCTCGGGGCTTGCAGAGGTCCAAGTGGCCACCAAGTGTCCTGCCCGAAGACGCAGCCTCTCTTCCGAAAGAAGCCAAAAGGTGGAGCACCAAGAAAGTTGACTTCTAGAGGAAACACACTGGCCCAACCTCAAAGAAATATTCCTTCCCCGGTTTGCTTGGTGGAAGGTTATAAATGCCCACAATCGGCAGCCGCTGGATGTCATACGTCCGGAAGGTAAAGAGAGTGTGATGCCATCGACCGTCTTGAATCTGATTGAAGAGGAAAGATGATGGTTAAGTCCTTGAACCATGGGTGGATGGAGATAGGAAAACCTAACCTCCCCAAGGGAGGAAAACATGGAAAATCCATTGCAAAGCCAGAGGTGGGATTCAGCCAGTTCGGGCAAACCGGATGTTAATTTTAATCTGGTTCACCGAACCGGTTGTTCCAAGGACTGGCTGACCCCACCCACTCCTCCCCTCCCAGGAGTCTCCACACGGCCCGTTTTGGATGCCAGGTAAGTGCAGGGTGCGCATGGAGGCTCTGGAAGGGCGAGAAAACAGGCCTACCAGAAGTACCGGAAGTCTAGAAATGGGGCCATTTCCGGCATCCAGAGGGCCTCCAGAACCCAAGGGAGGTCGTTTTTGCCCTCCTGGAGGCTCCAGGAAAGCCTCTGGAACCTGGGGAGGGCAAAAAATGGGCCTACTGGAAGTACTGGAAGTCCAGAAAAGGCCCATATCCATCCATCCATCCATCCATCCATCCATCCATCCATCCTTCCATCCATCCATCTATCCATGCATCCATGCATGCATCCATTCATCCATGTATCTATCCATGCATGCATCCATCTATCCATCCATCCATCCATCCATCCATCCATCCATCCACCCATGTATCTATGCACGCATGCCTGACTGCATCCATTTATCCATCCATCCATCCATCCATCCATCCATCCATGTATCTATGCACGCATGCATCCATCTATCCATCCATCCATCCATCCATCCATCCATCCATCCATCCATGTGTCTATGCATGCATCAATCCAATCTATCTATCTATCCATCCATCCATCCATCCATCCATCCATCCATCCATCCATCCATCCATCAGAGCTGGATGCTCTTCCTGTCGCCAATGCGGAGTTTTCTTCAGCAGATACATTCTCATTGTGCCCAGAGAAAGAAATATCTGCCTCTACCTAGGATCGAACTCACAGCCTCTGGATTCTAAGGCGAAAGTCTCATTCAGCAATAGCAGTCATTATCTCTACATTATGTAGTGATATCCCTGCAGCGGATAAAAGAAGGTAGTAACCAATAAGACACTCAGCCTGTCCTAGGATGGATAGGATGAACATAAAAGACAGCAGGAGAAAAACATTTAATATCTCTTTCTCCAGAGCTCCACTTTCTCAAGATGCTTCATGTACAATAGTAACCACAACCATAAGAATAGAGGCAAAGAGTGATGATCTCTTGCATCATATATCCAGTTTCACTTTGAGAGCTCAGCAGCATGTAGTTCATTCAAACTACCAGCAGGGGGCGCTTTTGCATTTTTTTTTTTGTTGCTTAAAAAGTCTCCTCTCCAACTTTGTAGCACAGATAAGACAACCTGAAGCCTTGTAGATGTCTCTGGAGATTCTCAGTCATCCAAATCATGGTTGTCGCAAAGGTGCTTTTTCAAAAAAGCAGCTGGGCTTTTCTGGTTTCGTTTCTCGTTTGAAGACGTTTCGCTTCTCATCCGAGAAGCTTCTTCGGTTCTCCTTCGGTTCTTCAGAACCGAAGAAGCTGCTTGGATGAGAAGCGAAATATTTTGAAAAGAAAAACAAAACAAAACAAGAAAGTCCGATTGCCTTTTGAGGAAGCACCTTTGGGAGAAGAGGAGGAGGAGGAGAAGGAAGAAGAAGGAGGAGGAGGAAGAAGAAGAAGAGGAAGAGGAGAAGGAGGAGGAGGAAGAGGAAGAAGGAGGAGGAGGAGGAGGAAGAAGAAGAGGAGGAGGAGAAAGAAGAAGAAGGAGGAGGAAGAGGAAGAAGAAGGAGGAGGAAGAAGAAGAAGAGGAAGAGGAGGAGGAGGAAGAAGAAGAGGAGGCGGAGGAAGAGGAAGAAGAAAGAGGAGGAGGAAGAGGAAGAAGAAGGAGGAGGAGGAGGAAGAAGAAGAGGAAGAGGAGGAGGAGGCAAAAGAAGGAGGAGGAGGAGGAGGAAGAAGAGGAAGAAGAAGAGGAGGAGGAGGAGGAAGAAGAAGAAGAGGAGGAGGAGGAAGAGGAAGAAGGAGGAGGAGGAGGAGCAGGAGGAGGAGGAGGAAGATAATTTGACTTTAGGTCAAGCTCCTTGATTGACCACAAAGAAAAAGGAGGAGGAGGAGGAGGAGGAAGGGGAAGGGGAAGAAGGAGAAGGAGAAGGAGAAGGAGAAGGAGAAGGAGAAGGAGAAGGAGAAGGAGAAGAAGCTCTGACTGGATGGATGAATGAATCCTTCCATTCCCCACCATCCAGTCAGAACAAGAAAATCTAGTAGCTTCTTGAAAAAAGCACCTATGTGACAAGTCTTGTAGATGTTTTACCTTACAGCTCTCACAATTTTTTTGGCAGGGAGCCAGCCATGCTGAGTCGCGTTCAGCAGGATTTCAGCCTGAGCTGTCTACCTCCGCTCTGGATAATAAAAACAACTCAAAAGACGAAAACACCTTTCAACATGTCAACAACGGCTGCGCTTTGGAGATACTTCTAGATCTTCATTATGAAATCACAGTATCTTCTCCATGTGGTGGTAGCACCCAAATCCTTCCAACTCTTTTTCCCGGAGGATTTCCGTACCTTACAATGGTTCACCACAACATCCGGCGTGAGCTGCCCTCCTTGTTCAAAGAGCTGCCCGTTCCAGGCCTTGAAGCGTACAGAGGCCCCTTCTGATGACGTTTCCGGCCAAACCGGCATGTTCAAGCAATGGATAGTGATGTTCTGAACGACTTCAGAGCTCAAGAGGTGAAGGAAATTCATTTGTACTCTTCCAATATCGAAGTCCAGCTGGAGAAGGGGAAGTACACGAGTTTAGGAGAAAGATTGGGACTCAGCGTTCTGGCCAGGAGAAACATCTTGAGACCTTCAGGCATAAACCAACTTATAACCATTCCAGAACCCTTCAACTACACCTAAGCAACCATGCACGGGAAATGTATAATACCACAAAGGAGGACCAAATCTAAAAATGTTGACTATCCACTGGTCAGATAAGCATGGATTTACACTTATGAGCCATGGTGGCGCAGTGGTTAGAGGGCAGTACTGCAGGCTACTTCTGCTGATTGCTGGGTGCCTGCAATTTGGCAGTTCAATTCTCACCAGGCTCAAGGTCGACTTGGCCTTCCATCCTTCCGAGGTGGGTAAAATGAGGACACAGATTGTTGAGGGCAAGAGGCTGACTCTGTAAACCACTTTACAGTGGTTTGAGGGCTGTAAAGCACTGTAAAGCAGTATATAAGTCTAGGTGCTATTGCTGTCTACCTGTCTGTCTGTCTCTGTCTCTGTCTCTATCCCTATCAGTCTCTCTCTACATCTATCTACCTACCTACTTATCTACCTACCTACCTACCTACCTATATCTCTCTACCTCTATCTATCTATCTATCTATCTATCTATCTATCTATCTATCTATCTATCAATCAATCAATCGATCGATCAATCTCTCTATCTCTCTATCTCTCTATCTCTTTACATTTCTCTATCTCTCTATTTCTCTCTCTCTATCTCTCTACATCTATCTACCTACCTACCTACCTATATCTCTCTACCTCTATCTATCTATCTATCTATCTATCTATCTATCTATCTATCGATCTATCAATCAATCAATCGATCGATCAATCTCTCTATCTCTCTATCTCTCTATCTCTTTACATTTCTCTATCTCTCTATTTCTCTCTCTCTATCTCTCTACATCTATCTACCTACCTACCTATCTATCTATAATCCATCTCTATCTCTATCTCTACATCTATCATTTATCTATCTATCTATCTATCTATCTATCTATCTATCTATCTATCTATCTATGAGATAGAGAGAGAGAATGATAGATAGATAGATAGATATCATTCTCTCTCTCTATCTCATTCTATCTCTCTACATCTATCTATCTATATGTCTCTCTATCTATCTCTCTATTATCTATCTATCTATCTATCTATCTATCTATCTATCTATCTATCATCTATCATCTATCTTATCTATCATCTATCAGCTGTGGTGGCACAGTGGTTATAATATAGTGTTGCAGGCTAATTCTGTCAACTGCCTGCAGTTCAATTATTTATTTATTTATTTGTTTGTTTTAATTTGTATACCGCCCTTCTCCAGCAGGACTCAGGGCGGTGAACAGCCAGAATAAAACAGAACATACAAAATTTTAAAACATTTTGAAAATAATTAAATATTTTTGGCCGCAATTTAAAACAACCCAATTAAAATCACCATAATTATCACTATATCAAGCTTGACTCAGCCTTCCATCCTTCTCAGGTGGGTAAAACGAGGACCCAGATTGTTGGGGCCAATAGACTGACTCTGTAAACCGCTTAGAGAGGGTTGTAAAACAGTAAAGCAGTATATACGTCTAAGTGCTATTGCTATTGCTATGGACAGATAAGCACGGATTTGCACTAAGAGTCATCCTTCCCATGGACAAAGAGACTTCCTGCAGCCAACCTTGCTAATGTCTCTAATTTTTATGAATGAATCTGGCTGCTTTAACTACAGAGACCCATTCACAAAAAACAGTGGCATTTACTTGCTGCTTGGCATGAGAGACGACACGGTTGAAATTCTGGACAATAATGTGCGCCAGCCGAATCTCAAATTTTCAACCCCGATTCTATTTAGATTCTATTTTTAAAAAAGAAGAAGAAATTGCTCTGCTTATTCACAAATCGTTTTGCTCCAGGCTGTATATTGCCTGAGGTTATCCGTGAAAAAAAATTTCAGCTGAGCCAAAATACCACTTCGGTCTTTTTGAAAAGAAAAAAATGTCACTAGCTAGTTATTCCTTTCCAGGTTCAGCTTAAAACAGAACTTATTTTTAAAAGCTGAAACAATTGGAACGTGGTACTTACGACAAGGATAAGCAACGTGTCAGCCACGTAGGCACTGCAGCACATGCCAGCCTCCCTATCTGCCTGTTTTAATTTCATTTTATTTTTTGCAAAGATTTTATTGGGATTGAAAAAAATATATATATTAAATGAGAAACGGGTGCAGCCAAGCCCCAGATACATTATCTGCCTTTCCGAGAACGTCTCTGTGCTCCACGTAGAACCACAGGCATTTTCAGAAAATAGAAATGTCCTTGTTTTTAGAGTTGTTCAATGGGTGGCACGTGAAATGTTGCATTCCGGTGGCTTTCTTAGAAGCCACGTGTGCCTTTGATGCAGGGGTGAAAATCCAGCAGGTTCTGACAGGTTCTGGAGAACCGTTAGCGGAAATTTTGAGTAGTTTGGAGAACTGGCAGATGCCACCTTTGGCTGGCTCCAGAGTGGGCTGGGAATGGAGATTTTGCAATATTCTTCCCCTGGAATGGGGTGGGAATGGAGATTTAGCAATATCCTTCCCCTGGAGTGGGGTGGGAATGGGGATTTTACAGTATCCTTTCCCTGGAGTGGGGTGGGAATGGGGATTTTGCAATATTCTTCCCCTGGAGTGGGATGGGAATGGGGATTTTGCAGTATACTTCCCCTGGAGTGGGGAGGGAATGGGGATTTTGCAATATTCTTCCCCTGGAGTGGGGTGGGAATGGGGATTTTACAGTATCCTTTCCCTGGAGTGGGGTGGGAATGGGGATTTTGCAATATTCTTCCCCTGGAGTGGGATGGGAATGGGGAGGGATTTTGCAGTATACTTCCCCTGGAGTGGGGAGGGAATGGGGATTTTGCAATATTCTTCCCCTGGAGTGGGGTGGGAATGGGGATTTTACAGTATCCTTTCCCTGGAGTGGGGTGGGAATGGGGATTTTGCAATATTCTTCCCCTGGAGTGGGATGGGAATGGGGATTTTGCAGTATACTTCCCCTGGAGTGGGGAGGGAATGGGGATTTTACAGTATCCTTTCCCTGGAGTGGGGAGGGAATGGAGATTTTGCAGTATACTTCCCCTGGAGTGGGGTGGGAATGGGGATTTTGCAGTATCCTTTCCCTGGAGTGGGGTGGGAATGGGGATTTTACAGTATCCTTCCGCCAGAGGGGAGGGAATGGGGATTTTATAGTATCCTTCCCCTGGAGTGGGGTGGAAATGGAGCTTTTGCCGTATCCTTCCCCTGCCATGCTCACCAAGCCACGCCCACAGAACCAGTAGTAAAAAAAAATTGAATTTCACCACTGCTTTAAGGTACCTTTGATGTTGTGATAGGGTTGAGGCAGGTTTGACCTTCTTGGGTGAAGCTGCAGGTGACCTGAATGCTGTCTGAAGAACAGCCGAGATTCGGGTCAATCCAGTACACACCTGAAGAAGAAGAGGAGAGAGAAATAACACGTGAGGCCAGATCCAGCTATAGCAGTGGCCAAAATTGTGGAAACCTTTTGGGAAAAGTGTACTTTTGAGTTTTGATGGCTAATAACACCACTTTTTTTTTTTGGAGTTTCAAGATAATCCTATTCCACTGCTGGAATGGCCTGAGAAGAATCCAGACCTTCACCCAAGTGAGAATCTATGGAGTCGACTAAAGAAACTGGTTAGTCAGAAGCAACCCAGCAATAAAACCCAGTTAATAGAAGCCATCATGCAATCTTGGCTTCACATGATAACAGCTGCAGAACTCAAAGACTTGGTTCCCTCCATGGGAAGATGTTGTAAGGCCGTCATTCATGCTAAAGGTTACCCAATGAAGTATTAACTGATGGTGGTGATCATCTTTGTATATCTCATTTGGGGATCATTTTTGTCTATCTCGTTTTTTCTACGTG